ACGTGAATGTCTCACCCTTCTTGAGACGAAATAAGGTTTATATCTCAATCGTATTGTCTAACGGCTGTCTCTTTCAAATCTGCTGCTTTGCCGCTCTGCTAATTACTTTAAATTTGCAATGCTTTAAACTCTGCCAATGCCGGTCCCAAGTCCAGACGAGAAAAAAGGAGGGAGGGAGTTGAAGTTCGACCTTTCCACCGTAAAACAGTCAACGCCGAATGTCTGGCCTCGACTAAATCTCTTCCAAAAGCACTGCCCCAGGAGGACGCGAGACCCCATCATGTGTATTTTCCCTAGAAAGCCTCATGAGGCCAGCATCCACGCAAGGAGGGGAGCCTTGCGACAGCAACACGCAGGATTTTTATAGGTACGCGTGCGAGCTTATATTATATATACGCCCAGTAGTTATTATATATACGCCGACCAGTTTGGATAGCATGCTCTTGTGTGCCAATGATAAATCCTGTGAATACCCAATTTGGTATACATATATGAAACACGTGCATATCTGGGTCACAAAACGACTTCACACCCAGCAATCTGATAATGTAAATATGTTTATGAATAAAATTCATTCTAAAAAGTGTTTATTAAGACAGAGCTGACTTTTCTAACAGCAAATTTATTACAAATACATTAGGTTTAAAAATTAAATGAACAATTATTATTATTAAAAAAAAGTTTTAGTGCAAAATATACCCAATATTTAGTAAGAATGACTCAAAATATTAAAAAAATATAATTAAAACGATACAAAATACAGTTTGACAAAATGTCGGTAGCTAAGGTAAAACACGCTTATACATATACAGCGTCCGTCTATTCCTGGTGCCAATAAGAGAATGAGAATGAGCTCCTTTCCTTCTCCGGCTGACCATCGAGCGTCCGACGTGGAATGTGTGCTTAGTGCAAATTTTTTAACGTTCTCGATAGCGTAAAATATAACTTAAATATTGTTGGAACAATATCTCTACCGGCAAACGTAGGCAAACGTTTCAACTCCATACAAATTTGCGTTAACTTTTACGTTATCGAAAACGTTAAAAAACTTGCACTAAGCACGTTGACCCTGATGTAACATTGCGTGATCGGTAAATCACGCCATTTCTTCATCAGTTTTATGCTTATTCGTGACGTAGCGTGGCGTGATCGGCGAACCACGCCCCCTCTTCTTCAGTTTTATGCTTATTCAATATTTATTTTATTCATGTTATACATTTACTGGTGGTAGGACCTCTTGTGAGTCCACACGGATAAGTACCACCACCCCGCCTATTTCTGCCGTGAAGCAGTAATGCGTTTCGGTTTGAAGGGTGGGACAGCCGTTGTAACTATACTGAGACCTTAGAACTCTTATCTCAAGGTGGGTGACGACATTTATGTTGTAGATGTCTATAGGCTCCAGTAACCACTTAATACCAGGCTGTGAGGTCGTCCACCCATCGAAGCAATAAAAAATATATTATAATTTAATGGACTCCCGATATGAAATACACTGCTATTCTAAAAGAAAAGAAAATAATTAACAATTAAAAGAAGTCGGATTTAATCAAATAATCGCGTAACAAATAAAGAACTCTAATACCTATCACCTTGTTGACATCTTACGATACGATACTTCGATAGTATAATCTATTATTGCTTTGTAAAAACCACCGGAAGCTCAGTCGTTTAAATGGACTTAGACTCTAAGATATTTCAATACGAGTCTTATCTGATACGTGTAAAAAGATTGACAATAAGGAAAATGCATTATGTAATTTAATATTGATTGGCACTATCTGGACATATCTGAATCTGGAAGTGAAACTCTTATTAATAAGATTTAGTGTGTTATATCTCTTTTTTGTTATTGCGTGATCTTTCTATTAGGTGTTAGCTCGGTCCTCTAGGTCATCCATGAGTCCATGAATAAAAATGAGTACGCTCAAGCGATGCGCCTTTTCCGACCTTAAGACAGGACCAGGATATTTTTATTGGAAATATGAAACTAATAGCAAATCCAATATGTCGTCTTTTCGCATTAAAAGTGCACAATTTCCAAAAATATTCGAAATTGAGTTAATATGCGAAATCATTTGGTATCACCATTATTTTTCTCATAAATACTGTCATAAGAGCGTAGTTTAGTTTTTGTTTTTTTTTTTAGTTTACCTATGTTTTGACGACTATTAACAAAATTAATACATAATTTTATCTTACTTTAAAACACAGATAATGTAGTTGGTAAAAAATAAATGTTGCAAAGATGATTAATATTAAAAATACTACATGTTAAACCTTTAAAACACTCTCCTGTAAAATTAGTAAGTTTTGAGATTGTACAGTTTTAATGCGAGAAGACGATGTGTTCTCGGGTGATTTTCACAATTAAGGAATAGCATCGCGTAGTAAGTGCGCTAAATAGATAAAGTTTGCGTTATTAATGGTGGGCAACCAGCACGGGGCTACCACCAATACGAGAGAGAGCTTTTCTTTCTCAGCACCGATTTGGTGGCGGTAAGTGGGATTTTGCATGATCGTTGCCTCTTCTTCGGATCTCCCTCAGTGTCGATTTAGGGCTCGATGACGGAGTTTTTGGCTTTACTGGTGGTAGGACCTCTTGTGAGTCCGCGCGGATAGGCACGACCATCCTGCCTATTTCTGCCATGAAGCAGTAATGCGTTTCGGTTTGAAGGATGGGGCAGCCGTTGTAACTATACTTGAGACCTTAGAACTTATATCTCAAGGTGGGTGACGCATTTACGTTATAAATGTCTATGAGCTCCAGTAACCACTCAACACCAGGTGGGCTGTGAGCTCGTCCACCCATCTAAGCAATAAAAAAAGCCGTTCTGTTCGACTTACATTTTTGCAATTACTACTTGTGCCCAGAAGAGTTTACGGCTTTTCTGGTTGTAAGAGGCTACCAAAACTCCTTGGCATGGTGAGTCCCGTCACCCATCTCGGTTGGCAGGTAGAGCTAGATAGTCCAACAATTTACCAGATTGACACGAACGCTCTATGAAACGCCAAACCGATGGGCCTTAGCGACAAGCGACAAATGCCTAAACCCCGTGGTTGAGGTAACTCTGGGATTAGGTTAAGTGGCCTAATGATTGCGTGTTTATTTAGTAACTAATTGAGCTGTGGCATTGTAGAACAAATTAAAAAATATGTCATACCATAAGGATGGCACACGGTGAAGTAATGGTGGAATTAATGTCATTGTTTCAATAAAATAGTGATAGATTTCGTTCTAATAATGTCTATTACCTATATATTAATTTTTTACATATGAAGTTGCCGCTTAGTATACAGAAAGTTGGTAGGTAATATTTTTTTTCTGTTGTCAAAATATGTATCCTTGATATCGATGCGTCTCTGATAGCGCAGTGGTAATTCTACAATGCCTTTCATAAAGAAGTCAAGTGTACGGGAACCAATAAATTCTTCAGAGGCATTTTGTACTGCCTTTCGGGTATTGATTTTTTACCCTACCAAGAAGTTGTCCTGGAAACAGTAAAAGCCTGTCGGCGTAAAGTCTGGTGAGGTTATACATTAGATAACGCCTGTTAATTAAAATCAATCGTTGTCCTGTAAAAGCAGCGGGAACGAGCGATGAACCAAAGCTGGATTCCTCACAGTACCTACTCATCCGCAGTAATGCGGAGCTGATGCTCATTGGTAATAAGCTATGATGAATTATACGGACATTAGATAGCTCTGTGACTGTGACCATGACTTAGAGATAGTTTTTCGTTTGCGGCACTCGCCTATCAAGTTTTTTTTACCTTGACAATTTGACGCAGCTGGGCTGATACTGTTTTGATGCTAACCTTGAAAGCTGCTGTTTACGGGCGACCACGAGGCTCACTTTTTTGATCAAAATTTGCATGTCGCAAGCTTTCAAATCAGTAACGAGTCATGCGTTCGTTTAGTATTCACTCCGTACACGTCATTAATGTATTAAAATGTTATTTATTCTCAAAGTAAATGTTTCGTAGGTGATAATTTTTACTTTTAAGTCACTTTCAAAAATTATGTTTTCTAAGTACCTATTTAAACTGAAAGCCGATAACGGAGTGTTCGCTATCCTTTTGCCAGTTATTTTTTACGTTCCTTTTATATGCCTACAGTAGAAAGGCTGGTGCATGTTCCATCTAATTTCACTTTGTTACTTAATTAAATGGAATTCGATGAGGCTCTACTTCACAGAGTACATTCCCTGGGTAGGTAATAATTACTTTTTTTTTTCGTTGTTTCATTTCCTAGATGTATAGCTTTTCAAAAATCGTAAATTTTCAAACGTTAATATGACAAGGTCGAATTACTGATTGAACAGGAGCTCATAACCCGCTCTACCATTATTAAGGTAAATTAGATGGAAAGTTGCAGGGAAATATGAGATAAGGAACACAGGTAGGGTTGATGATTCTTCTCCAAAAAGATCGATTTTAACGTAGAAATAAAAAAAAAACCGTGCGCGTGCAACTTGGTACACGTGAATGAAGTGAAACTTCTTTTTCGATGTATACAGTATACTACGCGCATGCGTTCGAGGGCCACGCATTCACTCTCGCTCTGTCTCTTTCTATTCCCCCTCCCCAGGAGCGTTAAACGCTTAACGAAACCTTGTTGGAAGGCTCATTAGAAGTTTCACTTCAAAAAACTAATTTAATTGAACCCGAGACTAAATCTCAAATGTGGTTTACCTACTTTTAACGCAAAAAGCAGATGAGCTCGTATTTCACATTGTTTCGTGGTTAGTTTTGTATTCTTCCTAAATGATTAAATGACTAGTGAAGCTTCAGTATATTGCTACTATTTTATTTCTTTTCCTTTTTCTCTAATAACGTATGATTTCAACTTTTCAAAACAAAAGTTGTGGTACAGTGGAATTTTCTCCTTTGCCTATGCAGGTGAATAACACAAAGGAAAATGACAACGACAGTTGACACCGTTAACTAAATCAAAATTAGTAAAACTAGAATGTTTGAATTGTTGGTTAATGCTAGGAATATTTCGCCTACACAAAAATAAACATTTTTATCTCTGCTGTTCTAATTGATAGCAGATAACTACCATATGTCGGTCATTAAACATGTCTTAGAGTTCACATCCAAACATTTTTAGAGTAAGTGCGTTCTGTAATTCAATTGGTTTTTGAATCTCATTTGAAGGTCTGATTTAACAAAACGAAATGTAAGTGAAGTTTTCAATGCAACCAATAATGTTTTGTCTACCATCTGTTACTATTATATAAAAGGGTCAAGAGTCAAAAATCTCGCTTAAATTACACACACTGTTTCAGGTTAAAACTAGTATTTATCGTGATAGTTCTTATCGAAGCGGTTAACCTCACAGACGTATCATATTATGAAATTCTAGGGATAACTAAACAGGCATCGACTCAGGAAATAAAACAGGCGTATAAAAAATTAGTCGTAAAGTTTCACCCTGATAAAAATCCTGTAAGTTAATTAATATTTGTTTATGCAAAATTAATGTACTGTTTTTCAAAATAATAATCATAAATTACAATATAAAAATGAAACCCACTTTGCTAAAAAAACTTAAGATGTAAGATATGCGAAATTGTCTATTATCTTATAACACAACTTTTTTACAAAAAATAAAGTTTAAACAATCTCAAAGTTTATTTGTTGTTTGTAACTTTTTATACATTACCTATACCTTATTCATGTATAAAAGTCTTGCATATAAAACAATGTACGAACTAAAACATTAATATTAAAATTTAAAAATGTCTTCTAGAATGAAGCCAAACAGGAAAAATTTCTTAAAATAACTGAAGCCTATGAAACCTTGAAGGATCCAGAGAAGAGGCGCAATTATGATTTGTATGGATCATACACAACTTATTCAAGAAAATATGATTATAAATCTCAGTCGGAATATGATAATTTGTACTACAAAGGACTGTACCATAATGATCCATTTGTTAACACTTTATCTGGATCAAGTTTCTGTATGTATATATTTTATATATTATGATGATCTTACGATACTAACACTTATATTATCATAAAAAATGTGGCGTTTATGAACGCACATTTTTATGATGCGTAAGCCGGAACGCACGAGCGGTGGGAAACAGAATATAGTCTGTGACACGGGACCTTTTTACCGCGAAATATTTAAAACGTAAAAATAATTTATAATGTGTTAAATAAGTAATATAATGTAATTACTTAGAATTATTTATGCTGCTACAACAATAAAATTTATATTGTTTCAACTGTGGTGTTAATTACATAAAACACGACTTTACGGCGAAATAAAGAAGGGACTCTATATGAACTCCCTTAAAAAGATTGCAAAATGTATATCTAGACTTATTATTTGGAAATTAAAACTTGAATTTAACTACATTGCGTAATGGAGATTTTTTGAATTACTACATCTCATTAATTGTAATGATAACAGCACACTATAGAGAAGTTGATAACAGCACAAGTCCACAGTAAAGCCGAAAATAATAAACCAATATGATTTCTTTCCAGACAATTACCTGAATGAAGGATTTCACTTTATAAATTTTTACTCACCATTTTGTCCCCCCTGTCAAAATATTGCAGATCATTGGAAGAAGTTAGCAGAAATATATAAGGGCATTGTAAGTATGTACAGTCTTATATTTAGATCCAAAAGTTACACTTTACCTATTAGTTCTGTATTACAATTTAGACATTATATATTTAACTGAAAAGACAAAAAATTGTAAAATTTTAAAAGCATTAATTAAAATTTATATGTGAATTATTTACAGGTCAAAGTTGGTGCTGTTAACTGCAAATACCATAACTCATTTTGTTATAACTCAATGCGAATCGGCAGCTACCCAACTCTATTATTTTACCCTAATGTAAGCATAATGTAACCAATTTTTATTATTATTAGTGCTTAAGTAGGTAAACCTATTCAGGGTCCACCTGCTGTTGAATGGTTACTGGAGCCCTACTACTACTGTGGGCCTACATGACCTACTACCAAATGTGTCCAACTTAATATTTAAGGTCCTATATCAGACATGATCTTCCTATATCAGACATGAAATTTCTTTCATGGAAAGAATACGTTATAAATTTTATATTATTACAGAAGAGGTTCATACCATCATTTTCACTTTTCATAAATTCCCAATATTTTAGTACTTTGCAAGTTCCACGATAACAGCTAGACTCTACTACAGAACTGCGTTAATTTATTTAAATATAAAATCAGTTAATATATTTTGTTTCTAGGGTAAAAATGGAAACTATTTATATTACCGTGGCGATAGGACTTTCGAGGCTCTAGATGATTTTGTAATGACATACCTCAACAGTCATGTACATGTGCCTACCGTCTCTCAACTGCGAAATACCGACAGGCCAATTGCCTACGTTCTCGGTACTAATAGAATAGACAGGAGTGCCTTAACAAGGATTGCATATCGATTGGTGAGAATGAAAACGTGTGAATAATTTTATTTATAGTATAGTAAACTCCCAATCTGTACTGATGAAATTGAATTTTTATTGATGTACCTGGTAATGGTTGGATTCTATGTACAACGGAAGGTGAATACAACACACATCTTGATGTATTGCATGGAAGCCTCGGTTGTATTGCCAATCAGCTATCTTACTCTTCAAACTGGAACTAATGTCAGGTCAAACAAAAAAAAAACACGAAGTGGCACCCGCTCATGCAGGATCTCAATGTGCCCTAGCACTTTTTCGCTTCAAATTGAAAGTAAATCCGTTCTTTGTTACTCCAAGTCACCTATAGATTAATTGTGAGGGCTTGAGGTTGAATCAAGAGTGAGGAGACCTGCTGGGGAAGTACAATAACCAACATCGACGAAAGGTTTAAATATCTGCAGTCTAGGCACATTTCTTGAAGAACAGATGGCTGTCAAGGCCAAAAAGCCTTCGCGTGGCGCCTGCGCACTACCGCCTCATACGAGCTGGACCTGTCAAACTGATAAAGGTCGAGGGAATCCGCTCAATGCAGGTATGAGGCAGGACCTGTTGCTGTGGTGAATCTCTGCGGAGGCCTATGTCCACCAGTACTTGTCTGTGGGCTGACGATGATGATGGTACCAAAGTAACGTGGGTAAATTTAATATTATTATAAATATTTTTTAGAACGGCCTTGTAGCAATCGCTATCGTAGAAGACGAGAGCTTGAGAGATAAATTATCCGAAAGTGACTACACAACGATCGTGTTCAAATACAAAGGTTTTATTAAAGACATAGAGAGTACAAATGAAGAAGATGTTCTAAAAGATATAGTGGCTGCCTTGCCGAAGATCGAGCTAATTGATCCAGAAAAGTTGAAGGTAACAACATATTTGTGACTCGGTTTTCTTATGTGACCCACCTTAATTCATCTTTACTGCCCCCTTTCCTCTATACGATATTATCCCATCTAACTTCTATTACTACAGTTTATTATTATGTATTAGCTGTTCGCTCAATGAATATAATTCTACAATTTATTGTCACTCCAAGATTTCATTTCATCTTATGAATTTTTCACTTTGTATTTATTATTAACATTTATATAAACAGCTAATGTTTGGACTTCCTTTTCCTTATTCCTTCCTCAATCGCCTATCCACGCCATCTGTTGACCCTACAAGAAAAACTACGCGTGTGAAAATGGCGCGAAGTGTGTGGACAAAAACTAAAACAGGGTGCCGGTGCAAAAACAATAAAATTTGTGATTTGTTGATCAATCAGCACATATAACTCGCGCCAGTGAGAAAATAGAATAATGCATCAACAAGCTACAGAGCGAGTCCTAAAACTTATCCTTTTCCCAGTCCCAACATATCTAAATTCAAAACATATTTAGTGGTCCTTCGAGCCGTATAACCTATGGTAACTAGGGGCATATTCGTTAAAAAACTCTAGTTCTACATTTCATTTCGCTTTAAGCTTATCCTAATAACAATATAAGTATTATTTTATTATTCAAAGCATAAAATAACAATATATTTTTGATTATATTTTTTATAAATAACCTACAGTTACTAACTACTAAATATCAAAATGAAAATAATAATCTTGACATTAACCGGCATGAGTAGTTTTAATTTTGCAATGTCGTTGTATCAGAACTATTAATGAGTAACACATTTGGTTGGTGCATATTTTCTTTAATAATAAAACTGTTCGATATTTACAGAACATACGTAATAAGTTACGTAGAGGTGAACAAACGCCTTGGGTCCTGTATTTCTCCACCAAGGGAAGTGACAGACTCGTTCTACATCAAATGAGAATGTCGTTCCCTAATTTAAATTTCGGTGAGATATTTTTATAATTCTTAGTGTATTTTTGTACACTTAATAGCCTCATTCGACCCATGGGTTGAATATACAATGGGGTTTATTGTATATTGAACCTGTGGGCTTAGAGTTTTCTTAGGAAAAGGAGCTCAGCATGCTGTATTGAATGATGCAAAAATGTGGTGGTCGTAATTTTATCAGTGTGCTTAGTGCAAGTTTTTTAACGTTCACAGCGCCCCTAGCGGCAAACGTAGGCAAACGTTCCCAGTTATGATAATATCCTAAAAAGCACCCTCGCTTTTTTAACAATAAAATCATTTTTATTCTATTTTTTAGTTGGATTTTCTATAAAAGCGTATTTTGCTAGTTTTTTTAAACTACATATTATTTAATTTTCATTTTTTAGTTGAATTTCAATTTTTTCAATATATTTTTTTAAATATTGTATTGCCATCGGTTTTTAATAAGTATACCAAATTTCGGATTAATCCGACGTTTTGAAGGGGGTCAAAATCATGTTCAAAGATTCCGTTACAAACATACATACGTCTAAAGCTAATAAAAGCGTATTAAAAAGGATTTTTTTTAAACAATCACGCCACGTTAACTGGTCCCGTGATAAGTTCGTAAAGAACTTGTGTTACAGGTACAAGATAACGGAAATAAATGTTAGATTTTTATTATACACATACATATATTTAATATACATCCATAACCATGGAAAATACATTTTATATTTATCATACTAATATCTTCCCTTGGCGGGATTCGAACCCGCACCCTTTGTGTAGTGACCATGTCACTTACCATTTACACCAGACGGCCGTTGATTTACAGGCGAGATCGATTGCGACAAATGGGCGGAGCTGTGCTCGTCGCTGCACGTGGAGGCGGCGCCCGCGTGGGCGGTCCTGAAGCGCGGCGGTGCCTACCAGCGGGCGTACGCGCCGGCGGACGCACGCACCTTCGTCCGCACCGCCGCCGCCGCCCTCAGCCTGCACACGCTCTCCGCTTCCGACCTCAACAAGATCTTGGAAGGGGGTACGTCGATAATACTTACGTTTTTTTTATTTTTTTATTGCTTAGATGGATGGACGAGCTCACAGCCCACTTAGTGTTAAGTGGTTACGGGAACCCATAGACATCTACAACGTAAATACGCCACCCACCTTGAGATATAAGGTCTCAGTATAGTTACAACGGCTGTCCCACCCTTCAAACCGAAACGCACTACAGCTTCACGGCAGAAATTGCCAGGTGGTGGTACCTACCCATGCGGACTCACAAGAGGTCCTACCAGTAAATTCAGTTCAATCCGAATCCACCTCGTGGTAATCTAGGGCTCCGGAAACTAGCACGAGGGGTCTTTCGAACGTGCCGTGATATATTATTATTTCTTAGTAGATTATTAGCTTATCACTAACCACGAGCCGATGACCTAGTCGTATCGCGCCTTAGGATTGGAGGTTTCAGGGTGAGGATGTGGTAGGGAAAGTAGAGATTATTGAGATACGGCGTGGCAGCGCGGCCGACCCGCGAATCTATGTTGACAACCGAGAAGTGTCAAATGTCAAGTCATGAATGCCTGCGTTTTTTTTTTGAGATTTCTTACGGCCCTGGATGCGAGTCCTTATGAGCCCGTAGTAAGGTCACAATTTCACTTCATTATAGTATAACTTTAAAGTTCACCTATGGTATTTGATATATCCCGCGTGAATCAGCCTCCCGTGTTGGTAAAAAAAACCCAAAACCCACAGATTGGTTTCGAACAACTTTTTTTTTGGATGGATGGACGAGGTCACAGTCCACCTGGTGTTAAGTGGTTACTGGAGCCCATAGACATCTACGACGTAAATACGCCACCCACCTTGTCATATGAGATCTAAGGTCTCAGTATAGTTACAACGGCTGCCCCACCCTTCAAACGGAAACGCATTACTGCTTCACGGCAGAAATAGGCAGGGTGATGGCAACTACCCGCGCGGACTCACAAGAGGTCCTACCACCAGTTATAAATACATAAATATATAAACAGATGTCGGCGTGTGGGTGCTGCTGGTAGTTCCGCACGGAATGCCGTGGGACCACATGGCCGGACCATTCGCTCAGACCAGCATGCACTTCAACAACGACGAAAACGTCAGTGTAAGTACGATAGCGCAGGTCTGAAGTTCACAAGTACTTTGTAACTTGAATTGAAAGTTCAGTCATATAATAATACTATTAAATATAATATTAAAAAAATAAAATAAATATTATAATATTATAAACTAATATTAAATTTTTTTATCTAATATTTAAAAAAAATAGACATGCCCGGCCAATTCTTCTCAGGACGGAGGCTAGTTTTTGTGGATTGGCGGTAGTTCTTTTGACGTTCAACAAGTATGTACTTTCATTTATGTTGAATAAAATTTTTTTGATTTGATTTGATATAGAAACAGAAATTATAAGTTAAACGAAAATAAAACCCAAAAATTTATGAGATAGCGTGATATTGAGGCGTCAGATTGCGACTCGACTGGCTCTGAAGCGAGTTCGTATGTCTCAATAAAAACAGGTATCGTTCCTACAGGTCATTGTCGACTCAAAGGCGTTATAGTTTGGAAAATTAAAAAAAAATATTAATCCATAAACAACACTAGTTTGATAATAGATTTTTAGAACTATTGTTACGCCGGTATGAGTAACGCCATCTATCGCCGAATAGCACAAATCTAAGATACTCGTAAAATCGATATGCACAACGCCATCTATTGTCAGATAACAGAAACACACATCGAAGCTACTCGACTAGTCCAAAATGTACTCGATAAATCTAGGGATGTCGTATCGACTATAAAAGCGTTGCAGAGACGTAGGCGGCATGAAAGGTGGCAGGAAAGGAAAGGGTGCTCGATAAGTGTTCTAAGTGTTAATTTGTACTTCGGTAAAAAAATTATTTATCCCGAACCCCATCGCGTAACACTATTTTATGGTTCACAAAGATATTCACCACGAAGTTAGAATAATATAATTGATCGTTCATGAATGTCGTGCTCATTAAAATCAAACGGGTAGTGGGGCACCCATTTAAATTAAAATCCAATTCCTACTTTTATTGAAGAAAAATATAGAGATACAAACGTTTAAAAACTATCCTATAGGGATCGAGAGAAGATCTTTGGTCTTTTTTCAGCAAACCTAATGTCGGGGTATAACTTGTATAGACCACCTAAATAGTGACGTCATTATTCATGATTCATCATTCATCGTCTAGAGTGAAATTAAAACGTTGTGAATATGTTTAATTTTGATCCCTCGCGTTTTTTTTTTTCTAAATGAATGCAATGTTATCCCGGATAGCTCGTGACATTTATTCACGAACGCCAAATTTATACTAATATTATAAAGCTGAACAGTTTGTTTGAACGCGCTAATCTCAAGAACTACTGGTCCGATTTGAAAAATCCTTTCAGTGTTAGATAACCCATTTATTGAGGAAGGCTATAAGCCTTATATATAACATCAAGGTAAGGCCAATACAAGTGGAGCACCAATAAAGAATGTTTCAAAATTGGGATTTAAATAACTTCTTAACATTCTATAATTCAAAAATATTTTCACTTTCTACGTAAATGAAGTGGGGGTAAAATTTTACGTTATGCCAAAGTAACTATTGCACGCGAACGGCGTCGCGGACAAAAGCTAGTATATAATATGATTTTTTTTTTATGGCTTAGATGGTTGGACGAGCTCTTAGCCCACCTGGTGCTAAGTGGTTACTGGAGCCCATAGATATCTACAACGTAAATGCGCCATCCACCTTGAGATATATGTTCTAAGGTCTCAAGTATAGTTATAACGGCTGCCCCACCCTTCAAACCGAAACGTATTACTGCTTCACGGCAGAAATAGGCAGGGTGGTGGTACCCCACCCGCGCGGACTCACAAGAGGTCCTACCACCAGTAATTACGCAAATTATAATTTTGCGGGTTTGATTTTTATTACACGATGTTATTCCTTCGCCGTGGAAGTAGGAGTGGGTAATATCGGTTTTGCCGCGTATCGAATCGTATCTATATATCGAGTATCAATATGGGATATTGAATCTATATATTTTCTGAATCTATATATTGATGAATGCTAGTAGATTTTCTCGATTCATGATATTTGAGATTTGAAACGATACGCTGATATAATATCGTAGTATATATAATATAGATTTAAGTCAACGTTATACGGTTGGTTTTCTGATACCAATTTATAATATGATTTTAAAGTAATAAAAAGAACATGAAAATAAAAATATCAAAAAAACTTTCCTTCATGCTTTTACCAGGCTTAGGACTGGCTACATTATTTTCAGTTTTTAGTATTTTGTGTCTTAATTTAAAATTACAAAATATAACAAAAGAGTGTAGATTTCAAAAGTTTAATACAAACACAAGAAATAAACTCAATTATTTGGATTCAACTAAAAATAGAAAAATGTGTACTTTAAAAATGAAACACAAAAAACTTTTAAGTATTTATAAACACTTATCCAAAAATTCTAGTTCAAGGTCAAAGCGCGTGAAATTAAATTCAACGATGCAAATAGGCTATACTGCATTCAAGTTATGGTCGAAAGTTGAAACTTCTTTCCTAAATTGTATCCTGCTGATACGCTAAGAATAATCTACAGACATATGGACTTAAATATAAGGTTTACAATTGTATGGGTAATGCCTGTTTCTGTTTCATTAATCACATGATATCCCTATCGTGCGCTCACTCACTCTGGCCGATTCGATACGAACCAAACGAATATTGCTGATATTCACGGATCGGTACGTTATGCCGATGCGCATCACATCGAGCAATATCGTGTATCGGCTGATATCGTTATATAGATTTCGATTCACGAATCGGTACGATATGCCGATGCGCATCACATCGAGCAATATCGTGTATCGGCTGATATCGATATATAGATTTCGTGCGGGGCGATATCGGATTCAACGATATTGCTGCGATATATAGATATTGAATCTATATACGATTTATATCACCCACTCCTACGTGGAAGTCAATCGTGAACAATTGTTGAGTATGTATTTCATTAGTAAAAATTGGTACCCGCCTGAGCTTCGAACACCGGTGCATCGCTCAACACGAATGCACTTCGACACGATGATTGGCGTGTGAATTAGACAAGTGCTTAATGAATGGAACTATTCCAGTTCGGCATTATGATATGCACGGCGAGCACCGACCAGCACTGCCGAGGAGTGGCGCCGGAGAAGCCCGTCGTGCTTCTGCAGAACTTTACCAGGCGGCACACGTACCGCGGCGAGCTTAACGAGAGGGAGCTTTTGGAGTACATCAATATGCTGAGAGACAGTGAAGGTATGAGTCTGACGCGACTTGTGAGGGTATTTTTTAAGGGATTTTATGGCCTCGTAACTAAGACCCTTAAGTCATGTCTTATTTTAATTTATATTCTTATTTTTTTGAAAAATGATATTATGGAGTCAAATGAAATGAAATGAAGATGATTAATTTGACACATTAATCAACTGGGATGTAATTAAATGAAATGAGATGATATGGGATGAAATATTCTCAGTAAAATGGTGATCATTTACTGAAATTTTTTCAGTGGACTTTTTAGAGGATCCCGACAAGTTACGTCCAGCAGCTTTGTATAATTTTCCCACAATTGTGCACTTTCACATATATTAAACAGTTAATATACCACCGTTATTACACATTTAAACCTGAGGAAACACTAATTAGACAAAATAAAATAAATCACACAACTTCACTCCTCGCGTTCCCGCCAAAAACTCTCACTTGTAAGGGCAGTGCGTTGAAAGAGTTCTATATTTGTTGCTTTTTTTTTTTTGCTTTCCTATTGATTAATAAGTTAGAATTATAAATTAAGTTTGAAACTAAAGATATATTACTACTCAGTTGGCGGGGACTATTCAGAGTATGTTAGAGTAGTTGAGATATCGTGCTCCGTTCAATAGACATCGGAACTATGATCGTGTTAGATTGGCTAACATTTGCAAAACAATATAAGGAAAAGAAAAAAAATCTATTTCGAGACATCATAGTCTAATTTTTTTCCTACCTATGCTGATAGCCTTGAGAGGCTATTTTAGCTTCTCCTTGACATGTAGGTGAGCTCACGGGGCTCAAACCGGAAGTGTTGGTAACACTGGCCCTAGCAAGAGCCGTGCTTCGCAGAATCTACCACCGGATCGGAAACGCGACCCACTGAGAAGATCCGGCAGAAACTCAGTGTCCATGGGTTAATTTAGTCGTCGAGGCTCGGCGGGGACAGTGACCGGAAGTCTCATAGTGTGTTAGCATTACAAATAACTTAAGAACAATGTTAGTATTTAAGTAAATCTATCAACTCCGTCCCTGGCAGGAATCCACCCAGGGTCGATCCATCCTGTTTTTTTGCTAATACCCTCGAGACGTTGTTGGTGCTTCCTCCTACTCTACGCATAATGGATGCCACCTTTTTGCGCATTATCGTGAAATAGTCACCAATGTGTGCAGTACGTGGTCTCCACTCGAGGATTCTTCGAGGATTTTTTATCACGGCCGTATTTATGGCGCTTATTTCAGATCTTGAGTTGACGGAGAAGCAAGTTTTAGAGATATCGGACCCGAGCCGCGAGCACGCGTGGCTGGTGGCGTACCTGCCCGCGCACTGCGGCGCCTTCTGCGACGACCTCGCCCACCACTGGATGATCGTTGCCAGCAAGGTACCAACCACGAGGCTTCATTCGCGAAGCAGCTGCTCTTGAGTTGTTAGGTCTGCTTTGGAGACGCTCGGGCAGCTGTTAGCTAATCCCACCCTTACTGGCTGAGCCTTTTCTCGCCCACCTGTCCTGGTGAAACTGGAAAGGTCTCCACACCACCAGTGACCACAGATTGAGGAATCACAAAAAAAACCACGAAGCTGGGGGTAACTCGAACGGACTGCCGTACTGACATACATACTTTAATAAACTATGAACATAATATCATCTTACCCATGTTCGAATTTAATGATCAAAACAAATCAACTTTGTGACGGACTTAAAAAAGAATCCCAGTGCCGAGAAGAATGATCGAAATAATTTCAATCAGCTTTGTGTACCAAAATTCTCTAACGCGGCTTGCTGGAGCTGCTATCCGATACGAATCATCACGTAACGAAAAAAGCATTATGACTTTTGACTTAACCATAAACAAATGTGATCTTTACAAATTTATTACGTAAGTATAAGTAGAAAATATGAAATAGTTGAAAGTAAATTGCATTAAGCAATATATTCTCTATAAGTGTGGGAAATTGCATACTCCTCCGTCCGCACAATTTTCGTAAAAAGTGATAAAGTTTTTGCTTCACGTATTAATATATAGATGTTACTTGAATGTACATTGTGCATTGTTTTAATGGTACCGGGAGACTAGACACGACGACATGGGTCATCAACGAAATATTATCGAGATCATTTTCGTTACAGCTGCGACCTCTGACTTTTGTTCGAGTTGGAATGTTGCAATGTGCAAAAATAAAGAGCGGTTTCTGTACAAACATTCGATCAGCCACGGCAAGACTCTATCCTATAGCGTCTGGACAACATTATAGGTACGTATATTAGGAGATTTTTGACGTTATTATTATGGAGGGTAGCGGTAAGGAGAACCGTCTCATATTAGCTTAAAAAAGTGTCCCACTTTCAGCACTAAATAACAGTTCAAAAATCCTCCAGAATAGCGCTAGTATAGGCACAGGGTATGATATGAATTGAGCAGTTGTTAACTGATTGAAGTATGCTGAGTTAGGAAATTTAATATATTTAATGACTAGATTGGTTAGAGACAGTGTAATATACCAGACCTCACATGTTTATATAGTCCAAAACGAATTTCGTCAATATAACCTAAAATTATTGCTGTTGTAAAAAGCGGAAACATCGATTGCATTTTCTTATCAGCTTTAAGAAGACCATAGACAAATAGATGTGTTGCCACCACCTACATTTACGTAATTCAATCTGATTGAATTAATTGTTATTAGGAAAGATATCTAACGCTTATAATTAAAAAAATATGACACATCTCCTGGCGTCCTACCACTAGTGTAGGTGGGAACAATGAAGACTTGTTCTTATCTATCGCCGAGCCAAACATCCCGAATACACTCACTGGGATAAATTCCTTGGTCACAACTTTTTGCGTATTTCCGAGCGTCTCTAAGGTTAAATCTGACCTGAGCCGGTCTTCAACAGCCACGACGACGCTGGTATTGCACACGCGGATAGATTCCACCACCACCACCCTGTCTGTTTGTGTTGGGACAAGCGGTCCGATTCGAAGGGTGGGGCAAACGTGGGGCCCATAGGCACCTTGTGGTATCTATGGGCTTCGGTGATTAGCTCGTAAACAAATCACGAAATAAATGAATGAATGAATGAATATATTTTTTTAAGACAACAACAACAAGGCCATATGTGTACATAGCATCATTGTAACATACTTATAATTACCAAAACAAATCAAATAAAAAATACATTATTCAAAATAATTATCAGTTGAATTACATTTAAAATATTCCATTCAACTGATACTTACTTCGAACCAAACATTATTATTATTTTTATTTTTATTTAGTCCGCAGTGAAGCACGGTACAATAAATCATGTGAAAATCATTTTCTTTTATGTTCTGCAGCGTCAGTCTACAGCATTTATCGCAAGCTCCGTACATACTGGAATGGGCGTTACAGTTCATAGACGATTCGGTTGTGAAACTCAACTGGAAACTGTTCGCTAAGACCGTTATTGCCGAGGAACTGAACCCGACGAGGTAAACGCGTGCCGCTCTATTGCGGACTATTTTTTTTTAACCTATTACATAGCTTTTATCGCGGGCTTTGAGCGCGGCGACCGAATCGAGAAATTCCGTAACAAAAATAAAACCTAACACCCCCACTCCGCCTATCACGTAGCCCGCGTTCAACACATTCACACGTTGCGCTTGTGTAGTGTTTGTGAATAAGCGAGCGCCGTGACGTCGCACTGCATGCGTATCGTGAAAAGTCTGCCCATCTCTCTTTCGCGCGGTCTAGCTTATGAGTGTGAAGGGGATAGTTAATGTTTTGCCTTTGTTAATGTTTATAAATATAGCGTGGTCTTATTTTATTATTGTTTTAATATAAAATTATTATTGTCTAATTATAATTGCATAAGTTAATAAAAATGCTATGCAATAAGCTTTACCGCGGAAGTCCCCGAATGCCACACGTGTTTAATTTTTTTTTTATTGCTTAGATGCGTGGAGTACCTAGTGTTAAGTGGTTACTGGAGCCCATAGACATCTACAACGTAAATGCCGCCACCCACCTTGAGATATAAGGTCTTAGTATAGTTACAACGGCTACCCCACCCTTCAAACTGAAACGCATTACTGCTTCACGTACGATATAGGCAGGGTGGTGGTACCTACCCGTACGGACTCACAAGAGTTCCCACCACCAGTATACACACCAAAAAAATATATAATTAGTTTATATACCCGTGGATAATACAGCCGTATTGTCGTTTTGAATTTACAGCGGCAACAAACCTTGGCTGGTCTATTTCCACTCTCCCAGATGTTACCGCTGCTACGAGATGTACGCTGACTTCGCTATAGCCGGTATTGTAAGTATTTTTCTTCTCTACCCAATTGTTGGTAGCCTAGAGGTTTATTCTAGCTACTCACGGACCGGAAACTTCAAACCTGATGTTGTTGCTAACACTGGCCCTAGCAAGAGCAGTGCTTCGCAGAATCTACCACCGGATCGGAAACGCGACCCGCTGAGAAGATCCGGCGAGAAACTCACCTACACGTTAGGGTGAAGCTGAAATAGCCTCTCCAGGCTATCAGCATAGATAGGAAAAAGAAAAGTAGCGCATCGATCGCAAATACGTGTCTCGACTTGCAGCTACTGAACAACGCGGTGCAGCTCGGCAAAGTCAATTGCCTGAACGAGCGCGGTCTCTGCCAACACGAGCACATCACAAGCTATCCGTCGCTCAAGCTGTACCTCGGCAGGAACAGCCGCCAGCGCTTCAGCAGCGTCGTGACACTGCAGGTCAGAGACCACAAGAGCATTCTAGAAGAAATCGAACCTCATTTAAGGAGATACGACGCCAGTCTGCTGGCCACCCGCGACGGTGCTGCCAGTAATAGCATCAGACACGACGAATTTTGAATAGTTTAAAATCCAGGTTTTTGGAACGAAGTTCCTTATGGGACGATGCTTAGGGGTACCCTAACCGGGAAATAAACGTCCGTAACGTAAGATTTTTATTAGTAATGCACACAGTGTACGACTTAACTTTGTAATAACGTACAACAATTAACATATTTTTTTATAATTAATTGACCACGATCTCAGAACGTTCGTTTGCGCAATACACTAACTCTTATGCAAACAACCGTGAATGAAGTGTACCACAATAAGTTCGCACGTTACCGAATGACCGTGGGTTATTGCGAAACCTCCAGTTTTATTTTCTTTATACCTCGAATAGAACTTAAAATTAATATTTTTATAATAAGGAACTTCGTTCCTATCCGGTGTCCCACGACACCACACATCTTTTTTTTTTACAAGGAAAAGTAGAGCTTATAACTATCTACTAAATGTCTTTAGTGCTCTTTCTGATCAATTAGTATAAATACAAAATATGACAATTTCAAAAACACAATTTTTTTATATATCAAAACCAAAGTGTAAGAAAAGTCTATTTAGATTACATCACATACAGCACTACAAATATGTTTCAAATGTAATAAAACTCGGTCGTATCTTTGGATACAGTGACGTCAGCTCTATCTGTATGTATATAAGAGGCTAGTTGCAAAAAAAAAGAGTATAGTCGATTGGGGGGAATAGAGACGAGTTAGAATAGGGACAAATCTGGGATGTCGCAATACTTTTGTTGAGTTGTTAGATTTAACTTTTTTGAACTGAAAATGACTTTTATTTAGTGTTTAAAAATATTAAATAATTAAATATAGTCATCAAATTTTTGTAACTCATTAAAGATATTAAAAAGTTTTGTCCCCATAAAAAACAAAGCCAAGGTGAATCGGGTCAAGCTAATTTTTCTATGTATATTTTGTAATGAACTATATATAATAACGCATCGTATAAAAAATGTTAAGCCTGCGGAACCATTTTAATATTAATTTTATTGGTATTATCCTTAGAAAAACAATTGAAAATTTGTGTTGGATTTGGAAAGGATCCCGATTCCCTCCAATCTATGGTACATTAGTTTAAGTTCAAGTTGGAAAGTGATATAATTGAAATTCGAGGTTCGAATTCTAACGCTGAGTTATAGTACTCGCCCATCTTTATGGCCGCTCTGAATGTAGCCGTCGGTACGAACTTGCGCATGGTACAGTCGGGTGGACATTTCATAACCAAGTTTTTTTTTTGCAATTATTAACGATAGCAACGAGAAACAAATAACAATATGAAACTATTCTGAACGCGACGATACTGTCACAGCTCAACGAGTATGTGATTGGTGTACTAAAGTAGCATTCACACTAACGCGCGGGAAGCGAGGACGCTTGCGGGTAGACAGCGCGCGCGGGGTGCCCTGCCTCCACGCCCCGCTGATACCTGACTTTGTGTTCTGCGCAGCGTGATGCGGCTAGGTTCGGAGCGGCCATTAAGTTTGCGAGTACTATACTGTGTGCTTAGTGCGAGCTTTTTAACATTCTCGATAGCGTAAAAGTTAACTCAATTTTGTATGGAGTTGGAACAGCGCCCCTGATGGTAAACGTAGGCAAACGATGCCATTCCATACAAATATGAGCTAACTTTTACGCTATCGAGAACGTTAAAAAATTCGCACTAAGCACACTGATGTGGATCTATTTACTGAGACTCCCAATTCTGAGCGCACGCCTTCACCGTAGACATCCGGAATCAGCGAGCAAGCTCGTTGCATCCCGATAATTACATATAAGTACAGTAAGTTAAGTAATAGTTAACAGAAATTAACTGTTTACTGACATCAAATAATAATCAATTTATCTTTATATTTCCGGGGCTCCGTAGTAAACGCTTAAGATTAAGTCCAGTAGTTTTTGTTTTTTATTTTGCTCGAATAAACAAACATAATACCACGCCGTGGTTATCTTTTTTGGAAAATATATTTGTATATAATAGTTTAGATAAATAAGATAAAACAGCTGATAATTAAACGTTCTTGCGTATATCATAAGTGCAAGGTATTTAAATTAACGCTTCGTTATTTTTAAACCAGTTGTATTTAAAATACTCTATCATATTTTCATTACTAAGCTGAACCGAAAATATTATTTATGAAATAAATAAATAAATGTCGTTTTAGTAAGATCGTATTTCCTGAACCCGCATTGTAATATAAATACGAAACGCCCCCAGCATTCCCTTGTAACCGCAGATTCTGAGTCCTTTTTTTTTTCTATAATTCCCTGTCACCCCAAGATTTAGATACATTTTATGTATTACATCTTCTCTGTTGTTGTTTAAGCATTTAAAATGTCTTCGTATTGAAATTTTTATTGTAAATAATTAATTTTAAAAACTTATAAAAACAATATGATTTATTTATAAACAATGATATTGTAATAATTTTTCATCAAAACAGCCATCGACTGATTTAGGCCCCATTTTAAATCGGTAGCTATGCATTTACTAATAATGAAATCTCATTTGTTCTAAATTAATAGTTTTAATAATAAATAAATTACCAAATTAGTTCAGACTTTTATTCAAATAACATAACTTTAACCATTTCAATGTATTACAGGCATCTTCACTGAGAGAATCTGAAAAACATGAAAACAATTAAAATTTTAACTTTTGTACCTAATTGTGTAAAGAAACCAGTGGCCAATTTTGGCTAGATGACATGAAACAGCAGAAGTTGGTCCAGTCTGTCTTTTAGCTCAATCAGCCCTAAAGGATGGTGCCAAGAATGTGCTTGATTGGAGTATTTGGACCCTTAATATTGACAAATATATATATTGTTCATCAAAAATAAGCATTCTCTGCTCTTTCCTTACAAAAAAAATACAGATTACACTTAACACTATCAACTGCTAGTTTATTAATCAGCTATTCTATTGCCAACACTAATTGACCTATGGTATGCAAAGCTGCTTTCTGCTTTATCTATTCATTCCACACAGGTGGGTACCACCACCCTGCCTATTTCAGCTGTGAAGCAGTAATAAGCGGTTTGAAGGGTGGGGCAGCCGTCATAACTATACTGAGACCTTGGAACTCATATCTCAGGGTGGGTGGCGGCATTTACGTTATAGATGTCTATGGGCTCCGGTAACCACTCAACACCAGGTTAGCTGTGAGCTCGTCCACCCATCTATTCTATAAAAAGAAATTTAATAAAAATTACATGACTGAGATTAGCCATATACCAATTCCTCCATATCCTTAAGAAACATAAAAAAATATATGTGCAGTCTTAGTAACAGTCAAGCACGGAATACAGTATTTTCAAAGGATTTCAATATGCATATACACCAACCCCTCAAAGCCTACAATATTGTATAAAAAGTGGATTCTTAAAAGTGACTACAATTTTCAAGTGAGTACAAAAATGTAAATGTAAAATGTTAAGCTGTGATAGCTTTGAAGCTGGGCAGGCTTCTACAGAAGTACATACAGAATACAACTGAATGTGTATAATTTTTTGTATTAATTTCATTATGTAAGGTCAGCAGCAGGCATTTTAATATCAGTATATGAGAAATTAATGAACTTAATCTAGCAATTGGTTAACAAATTGCACCCTCTGTAGACAACTATGTATTGATATCAATACTTTATAAAACTTACATCAATATTTCTGTCTAGCTGTGCATCAATAATATCTTGGTCAACACTACATGGCAAAAAGAAGTCTACTGGTTCATAAACTCCTTTTGAATCTAATACAAGTCTATCTTCACCAACTTCTAAATTCAAATCTTTTACCTCTACCTGAAATCAAAGTATTGCTCTGAGATTACAAGCTTATATACAGGAGTGTGATCTGAATTTAATTTATCACAGATAAAAAATATTAATTAAATCAGACTGCTCACTGAAGCTGGTATTTTAAATTCTGCTAACAAATACTCAATTTCCCCTGTTGGTGGCTCTCTTCTAAGTCTAAACACAATTTCATTCTTTCTATGAGCTGCTTCACTTCTTGACAATGCTTTGCCTTTAATTTCCTCAATAAGTGGAGGTTTGATTTTACTTTCTGTTTGTTGTATATCTCGAATCTGAATCCTATGTGATTGCAATGTTCCTATGGATTTCCTATTCTTCAATATTGTGAACTTCTGCATATCTATTTCAAATTGATATTTATCCTGTAATCCTTCAAACACAACGGTGAGAAAAAATGTTTGGAAAAGTTCATCTTTCTCAATTTTCTTGAAGAACTCTGGATTGACAGCCACATCGTAAGCAGTTGCCGGTGCACCTGATTTATCATGTTCAGTCCGACCTTCCCCAATACTCATGGGCACTCTGTAGCTGGAGGGATCCTCTGAGCTCAATATGTACATTAACTCATCATTTGTAATGTCTCTAGGGCATGGTATGGCGTCAGTTTGACATATATTTACAAATACTTTCTTGTTGTCTGGAATCCTCGTTGTCTTGACGCAAAAACCTGAAAACGAACTTATTTCATAATTATTATTCGACGGACTGTTGAATCTATAAATTGTATATTTCCTTGCCTGGCGTTGGTTTAACAAGCCGTGAAGGTACCGTATCTACCGAGGATAGTAATTTTTTCAGCTCTCCTTCCACAGGAGTTTCCTGTAAATAATAATAATTTGCAATGTATGCAAATTTTGGATGTTTCTTTTTAGAATTTTTGGTACCTACCTTTACGATCCTCATATTTTTCTCCATAATTGTGGGATCAACATCTAAGGTTATCGAATTTTTCGTCATATTGCTTACTTGTTGTTATGGAAACAATAAATTCATCAATTTTAGCTATTTTTAGTTTCGTCCACAGTTAGACAGATAAACAGTGTTGCCACCTCCGATTTTTTTAAGGCCCTAGGAGTTTATGGCCTGGTGTCTAGACCTTTTTGGTCAAGAGAAAAATGTCGCCAGATTTCGGATATTTTACTAATAAGAAAACCACCAACTTCCGCTAAACTTTTGACTAATAATAGCTGCTATGACATCGCTTGTTAATTCATAGTTGAAACACTTTGCATCAACAACTTTAAGCCTATTTTTTTAATAAAAATAATGGCATTTATAAGTGGACCAGGCATCCTGTTCCGCAGTTTACTTTTTACAATGTTCACTGCATTAAATCTTTTGATACCCACATTAGAATGGGGCAAAGTAAAAACAAAACATTCATTAACAAATGACTTCGCCTACGCATTCCCCGGTCATAGAGTACCTAAGCTGAAAACATCATCATGAAAAAACCATAGACCTATATAGTAGGGACACGACATATTGTTCTATACGTACAATTGCTTATATAAATAGCACCCATTTTGAAGGCACATACATAAACATATATCTATCTCGTTCTTACTCAGCACTTTAACTCGCAGGAAAACAATATAACAGTATTTCAGTGCGTACATAAAATGAAACATGAATATACGTAAATATCTCCGTCTCCGTCTAATGAGGCCGAAAATCCGCCATGTTTAGCGCGCCAAATGTCATTGTCACGTCAGTTCGGCCGTCTGTTTTGGGTTGTACATTATTTATTGACTTTGATATCGATTTAATATGATTGATTATTTAAAATTTCATAATTTATCATGCTTAAAACATATAAAAATAATAATTAAAACGTATTTTATAGGATCTCAAGAAAGTCAATGCCCTAAAACTATTATCTATATGTATTTAAATTCATTATGGAGCCCTCATCCGGAAAAATCCATTTATTCGGTGGAATCTATTGATCATGGACACTAAATCATAACATACCACCTTTAAAACTAGTCATTCATACATATTTAGGGACATTCGTGTTTAAGTATTTGCGGGGGAGAAAAAGGCTACCTGACAGAAATTTCTCTTCGGGAAGTATTTAAAATAAAAATTTTTTTAGGTTTTATTTCCGGCAGTGAGTAAAAAAACTATTGTAAATTGTTAAATATTTAATAATTGGAAAGTTGATTCTAGGAGGAAGTCAGGAATGACGTTTGTAATTAATGAATAAATGTTCTGTAGGTGTTTTTTTTTTCACGCGGTCCCTTGATAAGTTTAAAATTTGAATCACTCTCAAGCGAAAGTGATTCAAATGGTGCGGCGCACCTTCCTTGGGGTGTGCTGCGGTAGTATGTTACGGACTTTAGAGTCAGCAAAACAATTAAAATAGATTGTAATAGTCTAAGAAAAAGACACGTACTCAAAATACGATAACATTTAGCATGCTAGAAATAATGGGCTGATGGCTTTGTGTGAACTACGCCATATATATTTATGGTTGCCGGAGCGAAACGAAACAACTTTATAGAAATTCAGGTTAGCAACTTTTAAAAAATCTCATATCGTTTAACTTGGAAAATTCGAAGAGACGAACCTTGGTCTTAGATTTCACCCATCTAAATTTCAGTTATACATATTTATATTGCAGCATAACAATATACTACTTACTTCCCATTAAAGTGAATAATGTCTACAGAAATAATGGAATACTCAACAATATTTAAATACAAAATGCAGGCCGAAGAAAGGTTTTATCGATAAAAACCTGATAACATTGAAATGCTTCTTGTAACAGCCACCTAAGGCCGCCATGATTTGGGTGGCCAGATGATTCCACAGTGGCACGAAATTATTGGTTGACGTTTCATTTCCATAGGTTTCCTACTTCATTGGAAAAAACGGAATATTAAGGGAATTCCCTATCAAAAGTATGTTGCCAGATACCTGAAAAACCGTCAAAAACCACTAAAAATAATAAAAACGCTATATAATGAAAAAATACCGCTAAACGTCTCGAAAAATCACCAGTTCTGGTGGGAAAGCCACCAAGGCAACTATCATCTCATTTCATTTCGTTTTCATTTGCTTCATGCCA